CCCCCCCCCCTCACCCCCCACCCCCCAACGCCACCCTTGTGTTTCCAACAGGAGAGCTTCCGCGCCGATGTGGCCCAGAAAACTCCCGACCCCAGCTCCTTCGCCTTCAATCGGCGCTAAGAGATAAGGACCAAGTCTGCTACATTGCCACCGATACCACCGTGTAGAACCTGTTGTGCACTGACACGCGCGTGTGCCCCCGCCGACACGCCGTACGGTGCACTCTGCTTAAGCGGCGTCGCCTCGCAATCCATCGTGAGGGGGGAGGGATCACGGAAACTCGCTTCTTGGTCGAGTGCGTTCGCGTGTGGTTTGTGTGCGTGGTTTTTGCAGCCTGTCCCCTGCTTGTGCTTTTTATACCGCTTATAGTAGGGGGGGGGCGGTAGGTCGGCACGACCGTACCGCCATTAACAAGCTTGCTTTTTTCAGGCTATCCTATCCGCGGGGGGCACTGCCTAGCGACTTCGTTCTCGATGTGTTCGTGGGCGTATTAGGGGCCTGTAGAAGTTTTCGTCTTTGGCGTTCAGTCCATCCACATTGAAAGTGCAATATTTGCACATGCGACGAGGACTCTTCCATTCTTCCGACGCTGCTCCCGGTCAAGAACTTTTTTTTTGTCACAATGGGTGCGTCAATTGGGGTCCTCTCGCAATGATGGCTTGCTGGGTGGCGAAGCTTGGGCGGCTGGCAGAGCAAGAAGGGGAGGAGATGCGTCGCGATAGTGAAGCTTGTGTCTTTGTTCGGGATAGGGGAGGAGATACGTCGCGATCGTGAAGCTTGTCTCTTTGTTCGGGATTTATATGTCGATTGGCGCACATCAGGGCCGGGGAGGTTCTGTGTTGGCGTAGACCCACTTTTTTGCTCTTAGTTAGAGACCGCAGCAGCACCGCTTCAAGCTCAGCAGCTGAGACACATGGGAAGGCGGGCGGCGCATGTTTGCACGAAGCGATAGACTAGAGCTTCAAAGGGTAGTAGCCTTTGGAGGTACAAGTAGATGTAGGTGACGCATTAAGACGTACACGGCAAGTTGTCTCTTGTCTGGAACGCGACGAATAGTCTAGCTGTTAGAGAAGGTTTAGTGTAGACAGAGGCAGCGGCATCAGACCGCGTCACGGAGATGAAGAAAATAACAACAGAGACGTATGCATACGATTGCTGCACACAGTTTTCTGTTCACAGAGCGAGCGACCCTCTTGCCTCCTACAACATATTTTTGTTCTCGAGGCTCGCTCCTTGTTTCCTCTGTGGGGAAATCAATGAGGACTACAGTCATGAGGTTTCAAGTGTTGGTGGGACAAGGTTCAAAAACCTTGAATTCCACCAAGTACCCAAAAAGTTCTGCATTCTGTGTCACTTGCTGGCACCCGTTACGTCCCTTGACCACACGATTCACTACCCGTAGTCATGCAATCCAGGCCTGTTTGGAAAGAGGGTGCGCGTGCACTACAAACCACACCGTCTCCTTTTCCACACACGGTGCCAGAAATAAATGTACCGAGCAACATGCAGTTAAGGTGTAAAATGGTAAAGACGTGAAGACGGACGACATCCAGAATAGAACCGATTGGCATGAAGGCGCCAACATTAAAAAATAATACGAGTCCATTGCTAATCTGTCCCAGACTCTTTTCTATGGTAGAGATGGATTCGTTGTGTCATATTAAGAAAAATAAAAAAATAGTCGTCTGCGGGCTGTAGAGCTCTCGCAATTCTTCTAGCCAGAGAGGGGAGATCCGGGTGAAAAATTGAAGCGTGGGGGCGGTCGCATGAGATCGTGTCTACTGCTGTGTACTGTTTCCTCACTGACCGACGGACCAGAAAATGTGTGTGTGGTTTTTCCACTCAAGATCTCCGACCAAATGCTTTTGACAGCAAGCGACCTGCTGAGACAAGCAAGAGACACAATGACGGAGAATCAACGTGTACCATCATTTTCAAATATTGCTTTTCACGCACGACAGAGACGCGCGGCGAGGCTATACGGAGGCCGGACACGAGAGAATATGAAGGCGAACACCGCAGCCGCTCCGTTTCTCTCCACCTTGCTGGAGATGATCAACCGGGGACATTGTCTGTTCGACGACGGTAGGCAGCGACATTGATGACCACCGACGCGGGCGGACTAATAGATTCGGCGCTTTGACTACAATGTAACAATGTAGACCCGGTACCCTGTATTGTTTGCGTCTCTGAACCCACCTTTCTTTGTCGCACGACCACAGACGAAGGGCCTGCGTACTCACCATGACTGCTCTGTGTGACGGCGCATGTCGTTCATGTTTTGAATGCAGTGTGCGTACTGCACAGGGTTCCCTTTTTTATGCGACTGCTGTGGTTCCTGAATGTTGTTTAGCCAACCGTGTCTGTCTTCAGGATAACGCCCCCAACGCAAGGAAGGGACGCACGCGCACGCACAGACAAACGCACGCCCCCAACGCATAGTGACGAGGTTGGCCGTGTGTATTTCACTAGCTTCGTACAATATATGTAGTGTGGCCGTGTTGAGCGAATTATAGCTGTAGCCTATTCTGTGGTCTACCTAAAACAAGGAATTTGCAAAGTCGGGAGACCGGAATTACCCCGCGCTCTCTGTTTGAGCGTGTTCTTCCCCACGTGGCCGGCTCATACAAGATTGTTTGGGACCTGGGCTTGACGCCGTGATACTAGTGGCGGGTCCAATGCTTCTCTCTCGGCTAAATGCAACTACCACACCCTATGTTACTGCGCACCTGCGATCTGCAGTGTATCATGGTGACGACGGTGGTGGCAAAGAGCACGCAATTTTTTTCGCAAAATGGATCCGCTGCTTCTTCTGTCCAGTCATTCCTCCGTTGTAAAGTGAAGATGTCCATCCGATGCTGCTGCGCTGCTGCCTCTTCTTTTCTTCCTCCGAAGGAAATTTAGTGTTTGGAAACGCTCAGCTCTTCGCTTCGAGCGTCCTGCCGCGATACTTCAAGCACGGCAACTTCTCCTCTTTCCAGAGGCAGCTCAACTACTTCTCTTGGAGGAAGGTCGTCAGCAAGGGGGGCGGGGGCAAAACCTCGGTAAGTCGTCGATGCCACGCTCGTATTTCCTTCAGTAGGTGTTGGAATTTGGCAGTCAGTGTAGAGACGTAGGTGTTGTTATGGTATTTGGCCCTGTAGACAAAAAAAATCATTTCGCAGACGAGTGAAAGGGAACCCCCCCGCTACTGTAACTACCGCGTATATAGGTAGAAACCCTCTCCCCTGTCTTGTTGCTAGAGATGGAATCAGTAGGCCAAACACATTTGGCATGTTGGAACATGTTGGAACGACATTTTGTGAAGGTGACCCCTCAAAGCACAGCCCTCCGTCTAGAGGTGCAAATTCGTCCCCTAGAAGCGGACTCCAGCCGACGCATTTGTACCCGACCGACGCATCTACTATTATGAACGTATTTTGATCACCACGAGTGTTTCTCCTGGGTGACACAACATAGACTTAGAGTCTATCCCACTTCGTCACGCACATCCTCGCGGAGACGATGCCTTTGGTCCGGGCACTCTCCGACCCAGTAAGACGGGCGTGGAAGAGAGCACTCTTCTTGATGATTACCTCCCCCACCATGAACGAGACTCGTTCGTACAGATTGCACCAACTTTTCAAACGCGTGCACCACCCACACCATCCAGGTCCCCCTCCCTTGCACTGGCACGTTGTTGTGCGTACACCCTTCGGATCCCGTATCTACCTTTTATCTCACGCGCAGAGCTCGGAGAAGGTATGTGGAGACTCCCCCCCCCCCTCATCCCTGCCCCCCCCCCCCCCCCCCCCCCCCCCCCCCCCCCCCCCCCCCCCCCCCCCCGCCCCCACCCCCCCCCCCCCCCCCCCCCCCCCCCCCCCCCCCCCCCCCCCCCCCCCCCCCCCCCCCCCCCCC